CTACATAACTTGTATTTAACTCATTTTTAAAATGAGGAAACAGGATGATTGAGTTGGTGAAATTCTTAACCTATCAAATAACGTAACCAAGGGCACAAACAGCTGCCTTACTCACACCCCTGGTTTTATGGATGAGCTCACGTAAAGAGGGAAGCCAGTGCAAGGTACCAAACCAAGGGGACCCAGTTGTCCCACGGCTCCAGAGATGTATTGCCACAATATAAAATGCCATGTCTTTTATTTTTTTGATACTGAGTTTAATTACATGCTTTAGCTCTTAATGACACTAATTCAGTGTAACTGTCTAACACTGGCTTCATGATGGCTACTTATATCATTGCCAGCTAAGGATTGCAATGAAGACCATCATCAGCTAAACTGTAAAGCATCAAAATGAACTCTTCAGTTATTTGCAGTATTTCATTTTATTTAAATGGTGTGTTCTGTTTCTGTCTCTCATTCTCTGAACATACTGAATGATCTACTTATAGAATAAAAGTGTTCCTTTTATACCCTACTCTAGTAACCTTGTTATGGTTTTTCACCATTTAAACCAAAATGATTATGTCATGTGATCATTGACTGCATATGATTCCTTGAGTTAATAGGAGAAATGGTGAAGTTGAGCTGTAATTACGCAAATATTGGCATCCTTCTACATAACTTGTATTTAACTCATTTTTAAAATGAGGAAACAGGATGATTGAGTTGGTGAAATTCTTAACCTATCAAATAACGTAACCAAGGGCACAAACAGCTGCCTTACTCACACCCCTGGTTTTATGGATGAGCTCACGTAAAGAGGGAAGCCAGTGCCAGGTACCAAACCAAGGGGACCCAGCTGTCCCACGGCTCCAGAGATGTATTGCCACAATATAAAATGCCATGTCTTTTATTTTTTTGATACTGAGTTTAATTACATGCTTTAGCTCTTAATGACACTAATTCAGTGTAACTGTCTAACACTGGCTTCATGATGGCTACTTATATCATTGCCAGCTAAGGATTGCAATGAAGACCATCATCAGCTAAACTGTAAAGCATCAAAATGAACTCTTCAGTTATTTGCAGTATTTCATTTTATTTAAATGGTGTGCTCTGTCTCACCCCTCTAAAATGTATGGTATATCCCAAGCCTGTGGTCCTGCCCTGAACCATCATGTACCTGTAATCCCATTGGCCCAAGTCTGATTCCGTGCCCACTTCAATTCCCCTCTTAAGCCGTGCTAGTGAAATCAGTCGTCCTCTTAGCCCTTCCGCTCTCTTAGCTTTCCCCCCTCTCTTAGCTTTCCGCCCTCTCTTAGCCTTTCCCCCGCCCTTAGCCTTTCCTCTCTCTTAGCCTTCTCCCCCTCTTGCCCCTTCCCTCCCCTAGGCTTCCCCCCCCCTTCCCCCTTCTCCCTCAGTAACCATGCTGTTCCCGGGGATGGGACCCCCAATAATCCCTCATCTAATCAGAACCCTCAGAAGCCATGTGGAGTCTCCTTGCCTGCCTGCTGCTGCCAGCGAACTCACAGCCTAGGGGGCCCTCTGGGGACACTCCAGGGTGCCCCCACCTCAAAATGAACCGCAACAGTTATTCAATAAATTTATTTTTTTAATGTGAACCATGGTTTTCCTACATGGGCAGCAACTAGTTTCTACTTGCATTCAATCTTTTGGGGAGGAAGGACAGCTGGGAGGTGTGAGGGGTTAGCCTTGGCTGGACATCAAGTGCTCCCCAAACCATTTTATCACTCCCCTCCTCAACTGGACAGGGAAGAGAAAATATAGTGAAAGGCTTGTGGGTTGAGAGATCACTCACAAATGACCGTCACCAACAAACCAGACTAAACTGAGGAATGTTCATTTAATTTACTGACAAATCAGAGCAGGGAACTGAGAAATAAAAACAAGTCTTCCCTCATCTGTCCCTTCTTCCCTGGGTTCAACTTTACTCCTGATTTCCCAACTTTACCTCCTCCCCTCCTCAGTGGTGCAGGAGGATGGGGAATGAGGGCTGCAGTCAGTCTGTCACACGTTGTCTCTGCTGCTGCTTGCTCCTCATGAGGAGGACTCACACTTTTCCAGAGTGAGCAGTGGAACCTCTGCTCTGGCGCCTGGAGCACATTCTCCCTCTCCATCTGCACTGACCTTGATGCCTACAGGCATCTCATGCATTCTCAGTCCTTCCTTATCTGCCTGCAATTGCTGCTGAAGAGTAACTCTTTTCCCTTCTTAAATCTGTTATCCCTGAGCACTACCACTATCACTGATGGTTAATTTTGGCCAGCAGTGGGTCTGCCTTAGATCCAGCTGGCATTGTCTCTGTTGGACACCAGGAAAGCTTCTGTTATCTTCTCACATAAAAATACAGGGGTTCTCCCCTGTAGCTCCCCCACTCTGTGTTGGCTTTGCATCATGGAAGTGATGTTTTGGGAGAGGCTACTGGCAGCTTCTTTCGTGTCTGATAGAAAACCAATCAGGGGTTGACTTTGGGAACTGACAGTCTGTTGAACCACTGGAAAGCTGTACACGCCTCTGTGAAAAACACATGTTAAAGATGAAAGAAACCCGTGAACTTTCTCTTTTCTCTTCTGGCCAGCAAAGAGGTAACACGGCTGGTTTGTCTCGGCCAGGCCAGGCCAAGCAGCCCCTGCTGCAGGGCACCCGCTAGGCCCTGGTATTGGCTGCCGGGCAGGGGGAAAGGAGAAGCCCATGCATGGGGAAAGGAGAAGCCCATGCAGGGGGAAAGGAGAAGTCCATGCGTGTTGGCTGCTGAGATCGCAGTCACTCCCCTGCCCCAGCTGCAGTTCCTGCCGCAAGCTACCGACCCAGCCGGGGTTAGTGAACATTTACAGGCCCTGGGCAGGATATCAACTCTTTCAGTGCTTCAGTCCTCCCTCAAGTGAGAGAACAAGACAAAAGTGCAGACATGTAAAGAAACAACATGAAGACACTGATGTCAGTAAAGAAGAAGTCAAGTCCCAGAGGGGAAGGATGAGGAGATGCCTTTAGTTTTAAGCTGAAATCCTCCTGTAAAGGACTCTTTTTCACTATAATACATGAAGCTATGGGGAGATGAAAGTGTTCAAATTGCAGATATCAAGCAAAGGCTCCCATGCTGAAGTAGATGTTAAAGTAGCTGTGATCCTATAAGAAGCTTGAACAGAGAAAGAGAACAGTGATGAAGATCCTGTACCTCCAGGGAGAGAAGAAAATCTGTTTCTACAGATGAAGATGACTTCAGAGATAGACAAGGAGAACCTTTGCATTTGAACAGCTCACCTTTAAATCAGTACCCCATAAGTTGACATGGCCCATAAACACAGCTATAGGAAAAGCTTGTGGAACATGGGAGCTATTTCATGATTGCAAATTTCCCCGGGCAACTGCTATTTGTAGAAATTGAGAGCCACAAGAGAACTGTTTTCTTGTGGAGAAGTCTCCATAACATTAACATGAGGGACTTTTCTCCCTAAATGAACTGAAGAAAAAGTATTCTAGAGGTGATAAACTCACTGGAAATTTTAAGTTTGTCTCTTTACATTGTCAGTGGGAAAGAAAAGGTTGTAGGGGGAGGAGAAGTGTCCTGAAGGTTTGGTTCTGATTCTTATTACTCTTTCTTTTAGTTACTGTTAATAAATTTTTCTTTATACCCTTTTAAAGTTTTGAGCCTGCTTTGCCTTTCTTCTTATCTTACCTCACAAAAGGAGACGAGCAAGTACATTCTAGTGAGTACACTAGGGATTGGCCAACACTGAACCCACCACACTAATTAGTGCATTAGCTGAAAAATCTCAAATTGGCAAACCAAAACCACTACATGAAATTGGTGTTTCCACCTGGTTTCAAACTGAAACTGCCACATCTTCCCAAAGCCTAGCCATGCAAACCCAGTGCAGGTGGACAGTGTTAGCAAAGGGGAGCAGGAGGTGAGTGGTGGAGGTCCAACATTCTGGGATGATGTTCCTGCCTGGAGTAATGCTCAGAACTACTCTCCAGGACACTGGAAACAGCACTGAGACTGTCAGAGCTCACACAGTGTTTGGACAATGCTCTCAGAATCAGAGAATGGAATTGGAAGACACTACCTGGTCCAATCTCCCTGCTTAAGCAGGGTCATCCCAGAGCACATGGCACAGGATTATGTCCAGATGGTTGTGGAGTATCTCCAGTGAGGGAGACTCCAGAATTTCTCTGGGCAAACATGGTGTGACTCCACAACCTCTGTCTCAGGCACATGGTGGTGGGATTCTTGGGGTTGTCCTGTGCAGGGCCAGGAGCTGGACTGCAATCACAGTCATAGATTCACAGAGTGATTTGGGTTGGAAAGGACCTTGAAGGTCATCTAGTTTCATGGACAGGGACACCATTCACTAAACCAGGTTGCTTCAAGCCCCATCCAACCTGGCTATGAACAATTCCAGGGATGAGGCAGCCACAGCTTCTCCAAGCAACCTGTACCAGGGCCTCACCACCCTCACAGGAAAGAATGTTTTTCTTATATTTAATCTAAACCTACTCTCTTTCAATTCAGCCATTTTTCCTTCTTCTGTCACTACAAGCTCTGGTAAATAGTCTTGCCTATCTTTTCTGCAAGTTTTATTCAGGTGCTGAAAGGCCACAATTAGGACACCCTAAAGCTTTCCCTTTTTCAGGCTGAACAGTCCCAGTTCTCTCAGCCTTTCCTCATAGCGAGGGCTCTTCATCCCTCTGATCACCTTGGTGCCTCCCCTTGCCTGGCTCCAGCAGGTCCCTGTCCTTCCTGTGCCGGGAGCCCAGAGCTGGATGCAGCCCTGCAGGTGGGGTCGGTCTCAGCAGAGCGGGGCAGAGGGGCAGAATCCCCTCCCTGCCCTGCTGCCCACGGGGCTTTGGATGAGCACACGGCCGAGGAATGTCCAGCCTCTCACCCACCGGGATGAGATCGTCCGATGATCTCTGCGGGTCCCTTCCAACGCAGAGTACATTCTGTGGCTCGGAGCTGTGGCGGTGACAGCGGGACTAGGAGGCTCCCGCCGCCCGGCGGCCGCGCGCGGAACGGCGGCGGAACGGCGCGGCTGCGGCCGGTGTTCCTGGCGGAGCGCGGGGAGGTGGCACCGCGGCTGCGAGAGCATGGCCGCGCCCTGGGCCGCCCGCGGGGTGCGGGCCGGAAAACGTGAGTGAGGGAGGGAGCCGGGAATGCGGGAGGGAGCCGGGAATGCGGGAGGGAGCCGGGAGCCATGAGTGCGGGGCTAGGCCGAGCTCGGGCTCGTACTGCGGCGGTGCTTTCAGGGACTGAGATGCCCTTATTAGGCCACGGGGGAGCTGGCCTGTCTGAGGGAAGGACCTTTGCAGCCAGGGATCGACATTAACCTTTGCATAGGACCAACTACCCGGAGTAGTTAGGGTTGGAAAAGACTTCTGGAGATCATCCAGTCCTGCCTGGGCAGGGTCACCACGAGCAGGTGACATAGGAACATGTCCACGTGGATTTGGAATGTCTCCAGGGAGATACTCCTCACCCTCCTAGGGCAGCTTATTCCAGTGCTCTGCCCCTCTCCATGGAAACTTCCTCATGTTGAAGTGAAACTTCTTGTGTTTTAGTTTATGGCCATTGCTTCTCATCCTGTTGCTGGTCACCACTGAAAGGAGTCTGGCACCAACCTCTTGGCACCCACCTTTGAGATATTTATATGCATTATTTTAGATATTTATATGCATTAATGAGATTCCCTTTCAGTCTTTTCCTCTCCAAACTAAACAGGCCCAGCTCCTGCAGTCCCTCCTCATGAGAGAGATGCTTGTGACCCCTCATCATCTTTTTGACCCCTTTTGTTGCCTCAGTCTCCTGCTGTGACTTTGGGCAGGCAGTGCTGGGGCCCAGCGTGGCCACTTGCTGGAGCTGCATAAGTGATACCTTGTACATATTGAGACAATAATATATAATAAAAAATATAATAAATATGATGGGTGATCAGTAGTGCTGTAGAAACCAAAACCATATAAAGAGACTTCGAAAACTCAGGATGGGTCACAGAATGGTTGAGGTTGGAAGGGACCAGACTGGGCCATCTGGTCCAACCTCTCTGTTCAAGCAGGATCATCCCAGAGCACATGGCACAGGATTGCATCCAGATGGTTCTGAAATATCTCCCGTTAGGGAGACTCCACACCCTTTCTGGGCAATCTGTTCCAGTGCTTAGTCACTGTACAGGAAAGTTCTTCATGTTCATGTGGAACTTCTGTGCATCTGTTTCTGTCCCTTGCATCTTGTCCCATTGCTGGGCACCACTGAGCAGAGCCTGGTCCCTGCAGGAACTGACTGACACTGATGAGATCCCCTCTCACTCATCTCTTCTGAAGGCTGAACAGCCCCAGCTCCCTGAGCCTTTCCTCATGAGAGGGATGCTTGGCTGGACTGGGCCATCTGGTCCAACCTCTCTGTTCAAGCAGGATCATCCCAGAGCACATGGCACAGGATTGCATCCAGATGGTTCTGAAATATCTCCCGTTAGGGAGACTCCACACCCTTTCTGGGCAATCTGTTCCAGTGCTTAGTCACTGTACAGGAAAGTTCTTCATGTTCATGTGGAACTTCTGTGCATCTGTTTCTGTCCCTTGCATCTTGTCCCATTGCTGGGCACCACTGAGCAGAGCCTGGTCCCTGCAGGAACTGACTGACACTGATGAGATCCCCTCTCACTCATCTCTTCTGAAGGCTGAACAGCCCCAGCTCCCTGAGCCTTTCCTCATGAGAGGGATGCTTGGCTGGACTCACCCAGGATTGCTTTGTCCGGGATTATTGCTTACTCAGTGTTTCTCCTGTCACCAGGGTACATCTCCACACCAGCTTTCTCTCAGCTGACGCCCAGTGAGGTAGTTCGGATGCGTAATGAGCTCTTCACCAAAGAGAAAGAGAGACAATTGTCTCTTCACCCACGGATTGAGAAAATTGAAGTGAAATACACTGGGAAGCAGCATTGTGGCAGTGTGTTTGTCATGAACAAGGCTCTGTCTACGCCGTATAACTGTGCCATGCGTAAGTGGATGGACTTCTGACCTAGCCCCTCAGGGTGAATGTAGTGCTGCCAGTTGAAATAGAAACAGTTAATTTTTGGAGGCTTATTTCACAGTTCACCCTTCCAGGTCATCTACAAATAGGAGACTTGCAGTTGTTAGAAATGAGCAGTCTGAACTGCTGATCCTGAAAAATATGGTCAATAACTAACTAATAATTCAGTTGTTTGTTTGTTTGGTTGGTTGGTTTTTTTTAAAATTTTCTTTAGATTTAAGCGAATGGCATTGCCAGAACTCTGTTCTGGCTTTTGTGGATGGTGAAATCTGGGACATGTACAGACCCCTGACCAAATCATGTGAAATTCAGTTCCTTACCTTCAAAGATGAAGATCCAGAGGAAGTAAACAAGGTAAGTTATTACCTTGTTCCATTGTAGGTGACCCTGGTTCTCTGTACCTTGTCTCATTGCAGGTGGCCCTAATTATGACTTCTTGATTCTGTGTGCACCTTTCAGTTCCATAAATGTCTGCTTTCTTGAACTTTGTTGTCATTAAGGTTCAGACATTTTTAATGTCTTTTTAATGGTGCACCATGGCTATCATTAGCTGGACTAGTGTGTGGGCTAGGTGAATTGCTGGCTTTCCTTTCAACTGTTGTATTATTCTGGGATTTCATATTTAAATATCTCCAGGGTTACATCTGGCTTGTATTCTAAGTGCAGTTTTGATTTTTTAATTTTATTCTGTTTGGAGAATCATTTCTGAGTAGAAGTTTTAAATACTAAAGAAAGTAATCATAGAATCATGGAAAAGCTTGGGTTGGAAGGGACATTAGAAGCTCATCCAATTCCACCCCCTGCCACGGGCAGGGATGCCTTCCACTAGACCAGGTTGCTCATAGCCCTGTCCAGCCTGGCCTTGAACACTTCCAGGGGTGGAATGCTTGGGTTTGTGCATCATCCAAGTTTTTGGGGGATTTTTTTGGAATAATTGTCTTCTAGGCATTAAATTCCTGTTCTGAAATTCTCTTTGCAGGCATATTGGCGTTCCTGTGCCATGATCATGGCGTGTGTGCTAAAGCGAGCATTCAAGGATGAATACTCTGTCAACCTTGTTAAAGCTCCAGAAGTGCCAGGTGATAAAAGTGTTCTATATTGATTGTCTTTTGCTGCTTCTCAAGTGTTTAATAACCAAACTTAGAAAAAAAATATTTCCAATGACTGATGGTACTTAGCATTGGTATGTGTATTACATGCTGTTGTAGTTGCCTTTAATTTATAATAACCACACTAAAAACAGTTTTGTTATTAATGTTCAGAAAATAGGTCCATGTGGCCACTGGGTTTCAGACCACTTAGGATTTCATAGCTGAAATGAGTAACTAAACCTCTGTATTGTGAAGTGACATGAGCAAGGTTTCTAGATGTGATCAGACATGTTTCTATGGAATTTGCTCTAATAACTGCCTAACCTTGTCCATCAAAGTTGAGTTTCTAAAAATGACAATGTCTACACCAAATTGGAAGATTATTGAGGTACAGACAAGCTTAGGAACAACTTCTGCTCATCCATGATCTGATTTAAGATTTAGAAAAGTGAGAAAATGCACAAGAGAAGAGGTTGTTTCAGTAACAGAACCTGCATAATTATGCATTTAATATATGAGAAGGTTGGTTGCTGGTCATGTGGAGTGCTATAACTGCTTTTCTTTTCAGCAATTTTAGCATTTGTTGTGATTGATAAATACAGGTAAATATTTCAGTTCTACCAGAATTTGGGATAATCTTGGATATACTCGGCTATATCATTATACTGCATGTATAGAAATAGTGTGATCTTACCGGGTTCATAGATTTGATTTCTAAATAGCCATTACTCAATATACACAAAAGAGTGTTCTCACAACTGCCAGATTGTTTACACAAACTTGTGTTGCCTTTACCAGAAATTTGTGCATTGCTTCTGTCATGGATAAACAGTTCTAATATTGTCTGATTTCTCTATGCAAAAAATTCCTCTTTAAAATTGAATAGCTCTCATTTATTATATGAGGCATACAATGGAAATGTGGTGAAGTATTTTTAAGGTAGGTGGTTTTGTTTTTTTTTCTGCAGTGTTAGGTGCAGTTTTGTGAAGCAGTTTATTTTTTCCCCTCTTTATTTGGATTCTGTTATACTGACGTAGCATTAAAACTCCTTTCAAATTACTTTCTCATTCAGTGAAATGAAATTAAAACAACACAAGTTCAATCTGTCATTTTATAGTATAATCAGAGCTGCAAATTTGTTTTATGATGAATTTCTAGAAGTAATTATGTTTTTCTTCTAATTCATTTTGTTGTAAGAATATAGTATGATTGTGAAATGCATACTTTGTTACAAACATTAATCTTTTTATCTTTGGATTGGAATTGCAGTGATCTCTGGAGCTTTCTGTTATGATGTGGTTTTGGACAGTAAACTGAATGACTGGAAACCAACAAGCGTAAGCACTTTTCAGGCATAACCCCAAAAAGTTCTATAGCTTGTGTCCTTGTCCAGTTGTTCTTTTTTGACAGGGGAGAAGAGACTGAGCTTTTTTCCCAAAGAGTAGTCTTCGGGAGCTGATATCTGCATTTACCACACACTGGTGCTGTGGCAGAGTGCTCTCACATTTCCTTTCAGACAAAAATAAACCTTGTGCTGTCTTCCACATGCTTTCAGGCTTCAGGTCTGTGGAGCTAGAGAAAATTCTAGTCTGTTCCTCCTCAGCTGCTGTTGCCTGGTAATGTAGATGCAGCCACAGTCTTTGTGTGAGTAGAGTCACTGAAAATAAAAGTGTGTATAAGGCATATTTTCTTGGGGTTTACAGCAGAATCAGTTTGCTGTTGAATAAAATCTGTGAGCACATTCAGCTGCAGCTCTCCTTAATAGATTGCTTATGTTTCATGCTCTGCAGTAAATCTAATAATCTGAATGCTCTAAATCTCAGAACCATTTGTGATCACAAATGTTTTACCCATCTGGGGCCCATTCTTGTTCTTGTGCCCAAAAACCAGCCGGGTGTATGGCCAGCAAAGCAATATTTGTACAATGCAGAATTTTTCTTCAATATGATTTTGTAGCTGAAGTAATTTAGTTAGAAATATTTTCTACGTGACATTTTAAATGTAATTTCACCTCATAACAATTTCCTATTTACGAGTAAATCTGAACTACGCAGAACGTCAGATTCTGGTCCAAGGTGACAAATTTTTATTTATTAAATGTTTAGTACCTTTTTTAGCTTTGATCTATCATAATAGAGCTTATTTATAAAGGAAGACAGTACTCTGGGAAACAAGATTTATAGATGAGTATTCAACAGTAGCAAGACTGTGTATGTAGTACCATGTGGGGAAAACCTACTATTAAACTGCCTACATGGGCAGTTTAATTAATATATATTGTTTTTGATGGAAAAATGCCTATTTCTCACTGAAATGAATGGACATTGAGTCTGTCCATTAAAACAGTGATGATCTGTAGTGCTCTTATGATAATAGTAAGACACTCCTGCAGAAAAATTGCTGTATATAGGGTTTATAGTAGATGATCTTTGTTGCTTCGACTAATATTTAGTGTTTGCTGTGCTTTATCTGCTCACTACAGCTGTGAAAAGGTGGTTACAATTTTTATGTTCTTTTATTAGGACAACTTCCGTTCTCTTTCAAGGGATGCCAAAAAGCTGATCCACCAAGACCTGCCCTTTGAAACACTGCATGTTGAAGCAAAAGTAGCATGTGAAATGTTTCAGCATAATAAGTGAGTGTCTAAATTTGCCTTTCTTTCAAAGAGACAATTCGAAATCAAGTAAAATCTCTGCTTGGTTTTATAAATCTAAAATAAGATGTGATGGGTGAAGTAAGAAGGTACTTCTCCCACTGCTCGGAATGAGCCTGCCTCCATTCTCTTCCCACCAACTTACTCACACCAACTTAGTTCTTGTTGTTCTCTTCAGAGGCCAACACCAGGCACCTCTACTCGATGTAGTTTTGTGACAAACTGAAAGACTGAGACTTCTTTTGTTCACTAGTGAGCTTCAGGATTCCACTGCTATTAAATTGAAACTCTGGTGGTTAGCCTTGAGATGGTAGCCTTTTCTGAAAGTCTTCCATATTTAAAGAAATGTATATTTTTCATGTTCTGGTATCTTCAAATGAAGATTTAATGAAATGCAGTTTTTGAATTGTGCAGAGGAAAATGGATAAAACACTTTGGTCTGTGCTATGAAAAAAAGGTTTGTTCAAAACCTCCTGCCTTCTTTGCTGAAAAAAATACCTCAGCCATGTTTCTGGTCCACAGCTTTTTGGCAGTTGGAGAGATGTAGGGGAAAATGAGAAATAATTTATAATTTTGTGAATTAAATAGCAATTTTTTTAGCTTAATGCTGAAGGTCATTTTAATGTGACATAGGGATCATCATCTCCACTTTGTTGGCTGCATTGACAGCAGGTGCGAGCTGACTTTTGGTGGTACCTTTAGATATTGTGCATAGAAAGCACAGAGGACACTTCCCTGTATTGCAGGTACCAGCTGTTAAGGGCTACACATTGCATCAGGTCAGTTTAAGTGGTGTCATGGTGTTTTCTAGTCTTACAGGTGACCTGAACAATTCTTATTTGTAGTAGTAGGTCCATTGTATCTTTCTGAGTAAAACTGCTGTGGGAGCATAGCCCTCCTGTAAAATATGCACAGAATAGACTGGAATAGTTGTTTCAATAGGAAGGGACCTACAACAACCACCAAGTTCAGCTGCCTGACTGATGTGGGGCTGACAAGTTACAGCAAGTTACTAAAGGCATTGCCCAGATGCCTCTTAATCAGTGACAGGCTTGGGACATCGACCTCTTCTCCAAGAAGCCTGTTCAGTGTTTGAGCACCATCTCCTAAGGAAATGCTTCCTGGTGTCCAGTTTGAACTGCCTCCCAGCACAGCATTAAGCCATTCCCAAACATCTTATCTCAGGATCCCATATTGAGTGTGCCTGATGATTGCACTATTTGTAAAGTGCCTTTCAGTAGTGCTCAGTAAAATCTCTGTAATTTTTCCATGAACTGTGGTTAACTAACAGGTCTGTTAATGAAGCACCTCAATATGTGTTCTCATTAGGAATTTAAACCAGTCTCAAAGCTCACATAAATACAAGCATGATTTTTAGGAATTTTAAATGAATTAAATTAGTTTCTGAAGTGCTCTTATAAGAGCAAGGTGTTAAAGGTGAGGATTTTTAAAACATTTTTTTTCTTGTCCAGATACAAAATGGAGATGATAGAAAGAAAAGCTGCTCAGAATATGGAAGGAATTGTACCATTACATAGGTAAGCAAAACTGCCCTCCCATTCTGTAATGATTCACTGGAACATTTGAGTATATTGCAAGTACTCTCTGCAAGTGAGAAGAGCAAGTTACTTGGGATGGTTTTAAATTTAAAGATCACTTGTATTCATTACTGTCTGTGGTGTGTCTAAAGTTGTTAGTGTGGTTTCTTTGCTTGTTTTTTTAAATATAGCCATTATTTTGTGATACTTTGTGATACAATGTATGTTTCTATTTCTTGTTATGTAATGGTGGTAAGTGCCAGAGAAGTCTTACTGTTTTCAGTGCTTTTACATGAAAACGAAATAAATCTCTAGAGCTTGACAGGTTAAATAAAATACAAACCAAATACTGGTTTGAAAGCAAGAGTTAGCATTGCATAATGGATTTTTCTTTCAAAGTTGTCAAGATCTTCCTAACTTGCAATCTACTGCTTTGTAGTGGTGGAGATGAGAACAGAACAGCATCCTGGGGATACAGTGTAAGATAGAGAGTTCTTAGTCTGGAGGCAGGATAATTGCTTGTATCTCAGACAATTCTCTGTCTTAGGCTATTGTAGGATATTCGGTTGTATAGATGTCTAAAGAGTTCCTAATTTGTTTTTGTTCTACCTTAAGGAGCATCATCTGTCGAAAGGAACAGATGTTTTTACAGTGGTGGTTCTTGAAATTTTAGAACAATGTTGTGTCATTCTTTCCTTCCTCCCACTCTGATTTGCTCAATAAAGGGGAAAATGGGCTTACCTATTGCTTTTTGGGAGAGGTTCATTCTCAGTATTTCTTTACTCTACTATGCTGTCTCTCTTTTCTTAATTGATTTGCATTTTTCTAAGAACTGGAAAGGGAAGTACCTGTGCAGGTTGTAAACACTGTACTGTGGAAAACAGGTGATCTTGGAGACAAATCTTTTTCTGGTGAATGACAGTTATGCCAGTTTTAGAGCCAACTAATCAAAGACTTCTTAAACCTAAGATCCTTTCCTGGACTTGAGGTTTAAATTTTCTGAGTTCATTCAAGGAAATTGTGTGACCTGTACTTTTAGTTTAGGAAACTTAAAAATGCTGAGCTGGAGATGCATTTAGATTTGGTTTGGGATTTGTGTGGATTTTCTTTCTGTTGATTGGAATTTGCTAATCAAAAATAAAAACTAATCTCCTTGTATTTTGCTCCAAATATATTTGACATATAAGCTGGGTTGGTTTTTTTTTGCTCCAAATATATGACATATAAGCTGGGGTTTTTTTCATCCCCCCAGGTTTGGTGACTTTGTAGATGTTAGTGAAGGTCCTCATATTCCAAGAACAAGTTTCTGTTTCCAGTATGAGATAACAGCAGCCCATAATCTTCAGACTGACCAGTCTGAATTGATAAGAAGATTCCAGGGTGTGTCCTTACCTGTCCATTTGAAGGTCAGTAATCCATTTTGCACAGGTTTTCCTTCTTTAAATTAGAGCATTTTACCTGTGTTTCCATTTTTGTTATGTGCTCTGTTGGTAGCTAAACGGAATTCTCAGTTGAGAGCCATAGAAAGGGAGGACCCCTGATGGTGACTGTGTTGGATATTTGGGGTTCATTTTCCTGAAACAGTTGTGGATGTGCAGTCAGAAATAGAAAAGTTTGCATGAGAGGGCCTATGATGTTACTTTTCGGTATGGAAGGTGTTGTTTTGGTTGTATAATTCCTGCATGGATATTTCATTCTGCTTGCCTAAGTTGTGCATGCCAGTCTTCTGGCATCTAGGCTGCTGATAGTGCTTAAAAGAGCAGAACTTTGTATTTATACTCATGATAACTACACCGTTCAAAAAATTTCATTACACCAAAGTAAAAAGTAGCAACAATAAAAAATGTCCTAGCTCTAATGAGTCTTTAACAAAGAACTTGAAGGTGGAGGCAGGAGTCTTTATTCCCATTCGTATTTTTGGGTTCTGTGTGCTAAAGGCAGAAATACAAATCATGTTTTATCAGGAAGTGGTGAGAAATGACATGTGTTTCCTCTTGCTGAACCTTTGTAACAGCCTTTTGTACAGCTGTCAGGTTTCCTTTACATGAACAAATACCTGTATTGCTCCCTGCTGTCTTCTCAAACAGCTCTAAAAATGTGGCCTTGACATCAGTGGAAACAGTGACTATCTCCTCAGGTTTAAATATAATGAAATAAAATCCCCTGTTATTTCCCTTGCAACATTAATAAAGAAAAAACACAGAAGATCTGGTGTGACTTTCCTCTTCCCCTTTCCAGCACTGTCTTTCTTCCCCTGTAATCAGAATAAAACATGTATCCTTCCTATCTTACCTGCTGATCTCTGGTCATTAGGTCCCATCCTCTCATCTGCTTCTCTGTTCCTTCATCTGCTGCAGTGACGTCAGATAGGTGTGTGTTTTATTTTCATTTTCAGACTTCATATCTGCTTTCACTGCTACTGCCTCCATGGAAGCTGTCCAATTAAAGTCCAATTCCCTTTAGAAGTATCATCAAAAGTATAGTTCAAAGTACTTAAACTGTGACAAATCCCACCTGTACATTTGGACATTTCTGTATGGTACCTGAAGGTTCTGAGGGGACTTATGGTAGTCCACTGAAGGATTAGAAGCATCTAGCTCATTAATCAGGTTATGTGAATTTAGCCAGTTTTGCCTCTCTAGTTCCAATGACCAAATTCTTATTTACTTATTGCCCAACTGGATGGGCTTCTTTGTCACAATCTGGAATAAAATCCAACTTTTTGTTGCTGAGTTGATAGGAAGAAGACATGCAAGCTTTGGTAGTCCCAATACATCCCAATATAATTTTTTTTTTTTTTGACATGCAAGCTTTGGTAGTACATCCCAATATAAATTTTTTTTTTTTAAATGAAAAGCATGTGCAGCTTAGGAAAGTAGTGCCAACTCTGCAAAATTCAGTAGCCAGTTTAGAAAGATGAAAGGTGTTCTCCAAACAGCAAAAATAATTTAGAACTAGCCTTTTGGGAAGCCTGATCTGCTGATGTTTAGGGTTGTGCTGTCACATCTACCAAGTGCTTTTCTGGTGGGAGGAAAGGCAGTTCACAAAGGCTAGAAATCTGCAGTGCTCATGTGTAAGCATGTAAACTCACAGTCATGTTGGAAGAATTGGACTGTGATAGACCCCAAGCCTGACGCTTTGATAGTGTGAGAGTGTCTTTTGAATCTTTATTGTTCTGCAGTCATGGAAAAACCCATTTTTTGTAAAAAAATAAGGCCAAAATGGAATGTACCAGTTTCAGAGGTGTTTTTAGCTTTGAATAGCAGAAATCTAATTTTGACTGAAAAAGAATTAGAGTTAATACAATTAACAATTCTATGAATATTTTAATCACCTACAAAATGCTGTTACATATGAACAGCATACAACCATCCATTTTCAGATACTCTGTTTACATTTTCAGGAGGTTTTAAAGTCTTTTAATCTAATTTCCCAGAAAGTAAAACTATTCTTTTAAAAACATTAAAAAAATATTGAATTCAGGTTTTTAAAATACTGGAAGAGCTCCAAAGATATGCAGGTAGATAGAAAAAGCTTTAGTCTGCCAAAAATATTCCTGTATAATAAAACATGCCTCTACTTTGTGGTTCAGTAGCTGGATAATCTGTTTTTTAAATACTAACTTTCAACTACTTTGCTTACTCCTGTGTAAATTAAGAATTTCCATATTGAAAAACCAGTAGAATAAATTATTGATCCTATATATTTTCTGCCAAAATTTGAATCCAGATAAAATTTTTATCATCAAATAAAACCTTAGAGTTTTCACCAGACAGGTATTAATTATGAGCATGGAGATCCTGTTTTGTGGATATGATTAGGGATTTCAAGAAAGCCGTGTTGAGTTCTCATATAGGCATTTGAATAATGTTAATTTTGAAAAGAATTAAAACCATAATAAACCATAGTAAATGATGCAAGTCTAATGGGTATATTTTAAAGAAGGCATTTCTCTGCTGCTTATTTATGAAATAAGGACAAAAAACTTGACACATTATCCAAAACTACTTCTTTGGTCAAAATTTAAATAGTCACACAGTTAGTTTTCCACACCTCAAAATGCCTCTGGCAAGCTGCAGGCAAGACAGTAACTGCAGATGCATCATCATGAAACTCTTCCAAGCAGGCAATTGAAATGCTGTAGAAATTCTATTCCATGTTGTATGGTCTTGTAAACTATTGACCTCAGAACAAAAGGAGCAGTGCAACGGCTAGCAGGTTCAGTAGCTGGATAATCTGTTTTTTAACTACTAACTTTCAACTACTTTGCTTACTCCTGTGTAGATTAAGAATTGCCATATTGAAAAACCAGTAGAATAAATTATTGATCCTATATATTTTCTGCCAAATGAAATTAATCCAGATAAAATTTTTATCATCAAATAAAACCTTAGAGTTTTCACCAGACAGGTATTAATTATGAGCATGGAGATCCTGTTTTGTGGATATGATTAGGGATTTCAAGAAAGCCATGTTGAGTTCTCATACAGGCATTTGAATAATGTTAATTTTAAAAAGAATTAAAACAAACCATAGTAAATGATGCAAGTCTAATGGGTGTATTTTAAAGAAGGCATTTCTCTGCTGCTTATTTATGAAATAAGGACAAAAACTTGACACATTATACAAAACTACTTCTTTGGTCAAAATTTAAATAGTCACACAGTTAGTTTTCCACACTTCAAAATGCCTCTGGCAAGCTGCAGGCAAGACAGTAACTGCAGATGCCACAGAGGTGTTGGTCTGGCTGGCTCCTGATATCCCTTCAGCATGACTTAGGTGAAGAAAGCCCGCTCCAAACAACTTGAGACCCTTTATAAGTCATGAAGGTGACTCATAACTAACCGACTTGCCCTGCTTTTAGTAAATCCCCCGCTTTCCTTTTCTTAGAACAGAGCTTAAAAAAAAAAAAAAAAAAAAAAAAAAAAAAAAAAAAGGGAAAAAACCCCAAGGAAAACAGAAAACTCCAATCAAACTGAGGACTTTTTAAAAATGCACCATGTACTTTCTTTGCCTCAGACATCTTGACATCAGCCTTTGAATTGAGTAATAATAATAATAATAATAATAAATGCAAATGATTATTTAGTGGTGCTGGTACACTTAAACAGGTTGCGGGTATGTTGCGTGAGGGAGAGAGTTCATGCCAGTATCTTCTGACTGAAGAGGGAGTTCACTGTGGTGAGGTGTTTCCTACTTTTCTCTGTATTCCTTATGCAAATGATTGTTTAGTGGTGCTGGTACACTTAAACAAGTTGCGGGTATGTTGTGTGAGGGAGAGAGTTCATGCCAGTATCTTCTGACTGAAGAGGGAGTTCACTGTGGTGAGGTGTTTCCTACTTTTCTCTGTATTCCTTTTACATCCAGGCTGTGCTGCGTGGACTTTTTGTGTAACAATTAACCCTGGCAGATCTAGGAAAAAACCCAAAAACAACTCAAGAAATGTTCAGAGATACTGGACAGCTGTAGCTGGAACAGCTGCAAAACCTCTAAAACCAGGGATATACTTTAGTGAAGTTAGGGTGTATGTGGAGGACTGTAAACCAGTGGGTTGTGGAAACCTGTTACTAAAATTATATAGCATTTTTTAACACCATTGAAAGACAACTGCAGATGACTGGAAAGACAGGTTGGTTTAAATGGACAGGAGATACAGTATCATACAGTCCTTAAGTTCTGAACATATTCCCTGAAAATTCCAGTTTATTTTAATTTGCAGCAGCAAAAATGGTGGCGACTACTGCCTGATTTTTCTCAGACACTGAGCTTTGTATCTTTTCAAAATGAATGCATTTTCACTGTGAATCTTTTTGCCTTGAGCTTTGGAAGTTCTATGATGCTTTTAATAATATTTTCTTTCAGATCTCATTAAGATGGCTGAAATACAATAATTCCATTTACCAATCATTGATATATAAGGGAAAAAATTCGTCAAATCCCATCTTAAACATGCTGTTATTCTCTTTATGTGTGTGATTACAAATGTCTTAATTTTCTCCAGTGAGCCCACATAAGTTTCTGGTGTTTGTCCTCAGGTCTGCACTTCCACAGTTCCATCAGAACCTCATTGCTCATTAACAGTGGGATAGGGTTTGGCTTCCATGGTTATAGAGACAAGTTTGAAGCTGTGGCTGGAGCAGTGATGTTTCCCTGACACACCATTGAAATATAAGGAAAAAATTTCGTCAAATCCCAGCTTAAACATGCTGTTATTCTCTTTGTTTTATGTGTGTGATTACAAATGTCTTAATTTTCTCCAGTGAGCCCACATAAGTTTTTGGTGTTTGTCCTCAGGTCTGCACTTTCACGGTTCCATCAGAATCTCATTGCTCATTAACAATGGGATAGGGTTTGGTTTCCATGGTTATAGAGACGAGTTTGAAGCTGTGGCTGGAGCAGTGATGTT